ACAATATTATTTCATAATAATATCTTCGGTAATTGGTTGTGACTGCTCGGAAACATATCACTCATGTTTCGAGTGTCATGTGGCCGCCTCGAACATTTCACGGTCGCCAACCACGGACCGAGACCCGAAAGCCGGAGTGCCGTGGATTTTTTAATTATAATAATGATAAGAATCATGTCAGGATACATTTGGACCAGTAATAAAAATCAACACAACTCAGTTTGATGAGAATATATATATATGTATTTATTTTATTTGAGTAGAATACCTAATTTAATTTGGTGCCGAGAAAGCCGAATGGCATAAAACTCGGTCAGAGCAGAAAATAATATTTGGCACTTGTGATATAATAAGTAATGATAATATACAAAAGACGAGATACCTCCACAAACGTACCGGACGGTCCCGGCCAATAAGCGGTGACCGGCGGTCGTAAAATAATATTAACTCCATTTTGTACATAATAAGTATAACAATAATAGTGTAAAAGAAAAAAATATCATTTACAATAAATGGTACTCATCGCCAGTTCCTACCAAGTGGTCTACCGGCGGAAAAATAAAATAATATACCATCACGTACAGAATAAAAATAATAATAATAATCCACTAAAGTACCGGCCACGGTGAGAATAATAATATAAATATTTACCAAATAAAGATAAGTTGCCCAGTGCCGCCCCTCGGCGCACCAGCGACAAAACGGTCGCTACTCGCCCATGGTAAGTCGCTCGGAGACGGGTAAAAGATGGAGTGGAGGCCTTTTCTCTGTCGGCCGGTACCCGGCGATCTTGGGTGGCACGAAACAGGTGGAGGTGTCAGGGGGGGAAATACTTATGCGCAGATAGCGAGTGAGTGGCCGATACTCTAGGTGTTTGATTAGGTGTGGTGTATTATGGTGACCTTTATAATTGTAACTCTACTTTATGGGTACTAGGAGGGGAGCGTGTGTGCGACTGCAGGCTGTACAGGTGGTGTGGTCATCGATCGGCGGAGACCTGAGGTCCGGGGTATACCTTATCATGTCGCGCTCCTAATGTGTACCAGCTGTAGTATGTCTATTTTATAATTTATAATACTAATAGTATACCGATTTGCGTTGGACGTCACATGGTATTTGGTAACAACATAATAATCTCTTAATCAGTAATAATAACAACATAGAATATATTTTATAAACATTATATTATTACAGTTCTTTCAAAATTTTAAATAAAAAATAGTTATATTTAGATTTTCATGGAATTCTCGTATATTATGTGTACGAGAACAATGTTTCCTCGTACCTCGTACAAATGGTCCAAATTATAGTACAAGTACGAGAATTCTCGTATGTCTGGCAACCCTGACGGGGAGGCAAGTCGTGTAGAACGAATACCGGCCGCCGACATCGCTCTCGTTCTCTGACCGTCGTCACGGCCTGACCCGTCATTTTTTCCAAGTTTAGCTAAAAATCCAACTACGTGTTCCGCTTAACCACGTTTTTCTGTCGAGAACGTCTGTGACACCCGACCACGGGTTCATCCATTTTGTACTTTCAATTCATTATATTATAATATTATAACGCGATACGTCAAACACGACCTCGTGGAGATCTGTTCACCATTGTACATATTTTTGTATCTCGTTTCAAATAAACGCCATCCGGCAACTACTATCGAAATCGTCGGTGTTTGTTATTATAAACTTAATTATAAGTCGTGCGCTTCGTGACGAGTGTTCCAAAAATCACCATCGACAACGACCGGCATACCGTCCAGCTACCGTAGCCGCGTCAGAGTCATGCATCTTTTCTGTGGTATATAAGTCAGCTTCAGTAGAGGAAATATTGATTTTACATTTAGGGGTGGTAATCATCTCGTTGATATTAATTTCTTCAATAGAACGGTATTCTTATTATTATCAATTTCTTCCGTTGTATTACAGCAATCATCTTAAATTTGAATATGAATACTAAACAAACCAGGGCTATATGTAATACAACTAACTTCAATGATTTCAAGACAATTTTCATTCAAACCAATGTCCAAATCATGTGTAATGTCATTACATGTATAATCGTTCTCTTTTTTAGGAGAATCATCTGTAAACAATTTTCTCTTTACATACACCACCGCACCCTCATTTATTTCAGTTGTTTGGCCTAACATACAATTTTTTTTTTTAGATAATTCTTTAGGATTATCAGCAATTTCATTTTCTCGGAAACTATCTCGACATCGCTGTTATATGTTGCTTAGATTTTTACGATTACACTATATTTTTAATAATTTGCAAACTGAATTTACAACCTCTGTCTCAAAAGAACAAAAATTATTTTTTGCATAACCATTGTCTTGGAGCATTTTAAGAAATCGTAACTTATTATCTGACTTACAATCTAATAACTTTCTGAGAGACGAGTTGGGTCTTTTCAATGCATTTAATAAATTCTTTTTAGCGTTATTACAATTACCTTTATTTAATATAACATTACAAACACCACTTATTGCTTCATTGGAAACACTTATGTTTCCAAATTCCATTGTAGGATATTTTTCTTCTATATAATGTGCTATTTCTTCCAAATGTTTTAATACAGACATTTTAAAATAAAATTAATCCTACTCTTATAGTAGGAACCTTCTTCGACTACTATTAAAAGTAAAATATATCGTGGAATTATATCTATAATACTATTATTTGTTTTTTATATATCCTTATATTATAACTATATCACTATTGTAGTAGGAGCCTTCCTCGACTACTATCAAATGTAAAATAAATCCTTAAATTATAACTATATTAAAACTATTATACTACTTAACTATCTATTGTACTATTTTTTTTTTATCCTTATAATATTAATGATTGTAGTAGGAATGTTCGTCGACTATTATCAAAAGTAAAACAATTTGGCCTTTGCGAGTATATACCAATTGTTTAACTTTTATCCTTATTATATGATAACTATAATATTAATGTAGTAGGAACGTNGTTTTTATAATGGTGATCCTTGGATCATATCCCTGCCTATAATCCTACTACTTTACCATATAAGGTCATACCGTGGGCGGCCACGCGCTGCACACGCCGGATGTCCCTTGCTTATCTGGTCGTTGTCATCTCTACAGAGGCAACACAACACTTTTAGTGCGAACTATTTTAATAATATTCATATGAGTAGTTATATATCTATGAACATATACATTTCGAGGTCACGCGAAATAGATGCTTTGTAGGCCTTACTCAACTATTATATATATAGAGTTCTTGTCCAGGTTATTTATAATATTTTAACAAAGTCACGAAATAGATGCTTTGTAGGCCTTACTCAACTATTATATATATAGAGTTCTTGTCCAGGTTATTTATAATATTTTAACAAAGTCACAGCTCGCTACAGAACAAACAAAATTCGGTATCAAATATCAATATTCAATAGTCGCTCTATGATAATATTTAATATTATGATACTGACACAGTGACATTATATAACCATGAATTAAAAATATATACTATTTGTTATTTTAAATTACTATAATAATAACATTGTGTATTTATTTTAGGTATTTGTGAATTTGTTAATATAGGTACTTAAATTATTTTAATAGTATTGTTATACTTCTAAAATAATTTATTTTGAATATAATATATTAAAGATAATTAAAATTTATCTTTTTCATTTCAGTTGAGGATTCGATGAAAAGAGGGGACCTAAATTTAGGCCTGTATGCAGGGCTGTCCCGAGGAAAAAACTGTGGGGGGGTGTAGACTAACTAATTGCCAACTCGTGGAGTCAAAAAAATTTTCTCGCTTCGCTCGAAGAATATTATCTTATAATGTTATTTTATCATTTTTATTTCCTTTGTGTTTAAAACAAAAAATTACTTTTTTTAGTTTTAGAATTTAAATAAAAAAATATTTTGTTATTATTCTCTTTGCTATCAAACACAAAGAGTAGTATAGATACCAAAATATTATTTTTTATTATGTTGATATTATAAATCACTATATAGTAGGTATATTGTATATAGTACAATATAATAAATCAACATTTTTACCAAAGATTTTATTGTAAAACAATAGAAAATAAATTTTGATGGACAGGTATTCAAATAAACATTTTTTATTACATATTAAACATACAAATATATATAAAAATATATAAAACATAAACAAGTTTTTTTTTTTATTAAAAATTGAACTTGTAAAATATTAACAGTTAAATTTCTATTCTGCGTTCCTTCAATTTTGACCACTGTAGTGCTAATTTATTAATGTCCAATTGGTCCACAATATCTTTTTCTATTCCTAATATTACTAAGGAATTTAATCGGTCGTCCTTCATTGTCGATCCGATAAATGTCTTTACTAATTTCAATTTACTGAAAAAGATAAAGCACTGTCAATTAAATTATTTATAGCGTGTTCATCAGTGTTTATCTCAGTCATAATTTTCATAGTGGAATCAATTAAAGCTATAGCATCAATTATACATAAATGTTTAGTTTCAAGAGTTTCAGTAAGACATTTTAATTTGTACATAATATTTTTCATAAAAATTATAGAAACAATTAAAACAAATGAAAGTAATTGTTTTTGAAGGCCCAGTGCTTTAGATCTTGTTCCCTTGTCAAAATGTACATTATCGGAACATATTTCGTCAAGACTTTTAATAATAGCTTCTAATGAGCCCCATACAGCTTTGATACTTTCCACTCTTGCTGTCCACCGTGTTTTTGATAAATTTTTTAGTTGTAACGCATTTTTGATTTCAGATAATTTTATATTCAGTAAACCATACCTCTTGTTACTTGCAGAAAAAAATACATAGAGATTTTCTAAAGTATCAATCATATTTGCAATAATTGTGCTTGCATCACAACTATGTTCTAAAAATGTATTAAGCCTGTGAGCCTGACAAGGTATGAATGGAATTCGATGACCAGTCAGTTCTGACAATTTCATCTGGGTTCCATTATATCTTCCAGACATGTTGCTAGCGAAGTCATATGATTGAAAAGTTATTAACCCTGGATTCAATGTGATGTTTTCTAATATATTTATAATTTGTTTAGCTGTACCTAAACCAGTCTTATCTGTTCCTTTTGATATCTCTAAAAGTCGCTCGACAGCCTGCCCTTGACTATTCACATAACGTGTACATACTGCTAAGCGATCTTCGTGTGAGATATCAGGTGTTGTGTCAGCCGATACAGAATAAATAATTGCTTCTTTTACTTCCTTTACAATTATTTTACGTGTTTCATTAGCCAATAATTCAATGAATTCATTTTGTGACCTTGGTCCTAAGTAATGAACTTTATATGCCCGTGTAGAAGTCTCCTTAATCCAACGATCCATTAGTGGGTTATGCCTAGACAATAATTGAACTAATTGCATAAAATTGCCACCACTTTCATCACCATCACCTCGAAACGCTAACCCTTGCCGAGATAATGTTCGAGCAATATCCAATAACATAATAACAATATTCTTGTTAAAATCTTTTTCTTGCTCTAATTGTATTGCTTTTTTTCTATTGTCTCTATTTAAAATGATATCAATATGATTTGAATTAGTCATGAATAGATAGTAGTCGTTTAAAGCTGCTTTATGTGAAGTAGAAGAAAAATGTTGCTCAAGTTTTCCCAGCTTTTTAGCACCACAACTCTTCATTTTATGCCACTGATTAACACCAGTTTTTACCCATGCTGAATCAGAATACAATTTACCAGCTCCTCGTGGAAATAATGAGCAAACAAAACAGTATACAGCATCCTTCAAAATACTATATTCAATCAATGAATACTCATTAAACCATTTAGAACTAAAACTGTGCTGTTTACATTGGTTAATGTTAGGATTTACTGGATATCTAGTTAGCTTAGGCTGATGTGGACCTAGAGCTATAAGATATTGACGTTGTGAACTTGAAATTATTGGCCCACGACCACCTGGATCATGATTTATAAATTCATCAGTTATATTGTTTGACAATGAAGTTAACGAAGTACCTTCTGAAAATTGCTCCAATACAATATTTGAATTTTTTAAAAATTCTATAGATTTAGATTTTATTCTGCTAATAATCTGGACACTTTCTAATATAAATATAATTGGATTTGGTAATGTTTCAGTTTTTAGTTTGGACAAAACTGTACCAATTTCAGTTAAATCTTCAAAAATATTTGCTAACTGACCAGCACATAGCAACCAATTTACATTCATTTTATCATGGTCAACCACATTTGTAGAATCTGTTATGGGAACCGATTGAGATGATGTAAATGTTGTTTGGACCTAAAATTGAATAACTTGTATAAATAAAAATAAAATAGAACCAACTAAAACTAGACTCTAGATTCTGAAACTAGGATTTGTTTGAGTTGAACTTGACTACATTAAAAAAAAATAGATATTATAGTACATGTGGTGAAACAGACTGACTTTTAAAATGTATTTAGCGACTGTTAATTTATTGTCATATGAAAAATTATATACACAATATTTTTTGCCATGCATAATGTCCCAATAATAATACATTCATAGCATTCTAATTTCTTACCTCGTCTAATACAGATTCTATTTCTTCAGATTTAGCTTCAGTCTGACTAGGATCATGCATGGTCTGAGTTGAACTTGACTAAATTAAAAATAATAAATATTATAATAGGTACCTACTTATATAGTGAAATTGGAATAATTAATTTTTAAATATTTAATTTTGTTAAGGGCTGTATATTTAATGTCATGGTATAAATCTAGTTTAGCACCCCCTCGAATTTTCGATTTTTTTTTTTTGAAACCTATGAAGTTCGACGAGCTTAGAATGATGGTGCAAAAATAAATTTTCGGAAATGATTAGTTTTGAAGTTATAGACTTGCGAAGTTCACGATTATCCTATATCCACTCTCCAATAATATAATATTAACATGGAATTAAAAATTGGATTCAATTACGCTATATATATATCAAATATAAAAACTTTTTGGAATCATATTATGTAGTTTAATCTGTTTCGATAAATGTCGTGAAGTTTCGGTCGCACTTTCGAACGGGTTTTTGGGAGCGCCGACATGTTTCACATTTACCCGTTTACCATTATGTAACTTCTCTTCTTGCTTTTTTTTAAAATCGTCGTTAAATCTGCTGCCACATTCTAAGCACTCAACTTTAACACGTTTTCTTTTGCGTTTAATATTTGTGGCACTCATCATATAATATGACTTATCACTTATGTTTATCGTTTATGTATAAAGTATAAATATAAAGTTATACAAAATACAAAATCTATGTGCAGCGTAGGTGTATTGTGACTAGTGTAACTGTTTAGTTTATGCCGCTTATGGTACACAATGATAGTGCGTACTGCGCAATGATATTAGTTATTATATGCCAATACGGGCGATAAGGCTACAGACGGGCGATTTTACGATTTGTACACCAAATCTATTTATAACATGTACATGTTATCGAGCAGTAAGCACTTTCACGGAACGACAGTATTTCATTGTCATTTTATTATTATTTTTATTTTTACTTATCAGTTATAATGTATTAATATTAATATTACCTCAAGTTATTATATGATATTCTTATATCTACAATATTATAAATAAAGTAGAGATATTTTTTTTCATAGGAAAATACTTAAACTATTAATTTTATTGTATAATATAAATACAATTTATAGTTAAATGTTATAATAAAATACTTAAAATATTATTAAATTGGCGACTCAATGACCCATTGTGCCAACTGGGCCCAACTATAACTGTCGTGGGGGGGTGGCCCACCCCCTACACCCCCCCCATCAGGACGGCCCTGCCTGTATGTAATTAATTATAACCTAAATATAGGTACTATATGTCTATATATAGTATTACTTAACTTCTGTCTTACATTATAAAACTGTATACTTAAATTCAAGTATGAAGTTATAAAATATTTCAATAAATTATGTAGAAATACCGCCAAAGATTATGATCATTGTAATAAATTAGTTGATAAACTTAGAAAATATGGAGTTTTTTATAACAGATAATATTACATAGGTACATAAATTTATAACTAATTAAACTATTATACTCTAGTACTCTACTATTTACTTATAATAATATATTGAAATAAATAATATTAATTTAAAACAAATATTTCCACAATTATTTCATAAAAATATTTTAATAATAATCGATAAGAGTTATTGTCAACATATTTGTTTAATATGTTGTATTAAATATTGTATAAAATACATTTCGATCATGTTGACAAAATATATGTAGTAAAATATTCTCACAATAACTCTGGAAAATATTTTCAAAACATTTTTTTATGGTTATACTTTAAAATATTGACTAATACATTTTTAAAACATATAATTGCAATATTTTTTTGGCAATATTGTTAGCAACATATACATAAAATATATTAGCAATATTATCATGTTCCTATTTGCTGTCTGGGTATGTTTGGGGGATCTGTAGGTTAGGTTATAATTATAGTTAATTTCATGAATATTTTATAACACTTAATATAGGACATAGGTACTACTGTTGTTTATAAAATATATTATACGTATGGTTTATGAAAAATAAAATAAAAATATAATGTAATATGAAATAATTTATTGACTTTAATTGCTATATTTTTGTGTATAGAACAATATAGAAAATNTTTTATTAACCATCAATCCGACTGTTACACTTTTCTTGCTAAAAGGTCTGATATCGAATACTGACTTTGAAACAACAACTGGAATCATATTGTATTGCGACGTGTTCTTTTTGATATAGACGATTTCTGCTGATTATTTCTTAAAACGTATAAAAATAAATATAACAAAACATGAATCACGGATGTCATTAACATTTAGTGTGTGTATGTAATATTGGCTTTTGTTTCTACATAATTTTTTCTTTTATTACTGCTTGCTTTGACAGGTTTTGAGATAGATATACTTTCAGTTTCATGCTATTATTTAATAAAATTACAATACTATTAATATAATAATTATCAAATTATGATTTGTATTACACACACACAAACACACACACATACACACAGACATACATAACGTATATTAGGAGATCCGTAAGTAAAGCAGTAGGTTATGGGATCCATAAGAAATATTAGGTATTAGGACTTTGGACCAAATGCTAAAACTCTAAAATATTATTTTATATTTAATGTAATATTAGTTTATACAATACACTCATGATAATGTAAGGAGTTATTAAGTCTTTCTGGGATCCAGTGTGTATGGGAAGAAATAACACAGCATGTGGGATCCACAAGTATGTTCATAAGTTGTAAAAGCACTTTGTTAGATCCACAAGTATGTTTATTGATTGTATAAGCACTTTATTAGATCCATACAACGTTGCCAAACCATGCAATAATCACTAATTATACAATCAAATAGCCAGGTTAGGTTAGGTTTACCTACTGTGTACACTATCAAGACTTTTTATTTTTTTAAATAAATTGTACAGGAGAGCATAATAATTATACTAAGCAAAAACTAACTGTAACATAATTTTATGTGAAACTTATTTCTTTAAATCCTATTTAATTATATAATAATTATAATTGAGTATGTATGCAGATTGTTTTAAACTTTTGCACCCCATTCTAATTTTTTTCCATTTATAACACTGACTATATATTTTATAATCAATAATATTGATTACCTTTCAATGTTTACAACTATTTAGTAAGCTGGTAGTATTTTAGAAACAAACAATTAATTTTAACTTTTTATAATTTATTATTAACCTCAATTTAATAAAAAAAAAGTAACATCAGCTTTTATAACAATAAAAATGTTTAGTGTGAGTAATTTATGTAATGTGTACCAACTAAATAGTTAATCATCAAAAGAAAGACTTTTTCAAATAAAATACATAAAAATTGAAAATAGTAGTAAAAGATAAAATAGTTACTTATGGTTGTTGATGTTATGCATAAATGTTTTAATTTTTTTCCATGGTTTATTTATCATTATTTCAGGAAATTGTTTCTTTTCTTTCGCACTCTTCTTTTTTTGGTACTTTGTTAAGTAAAATATGTTTTTGGAAGTATTCTGTTGTCACTTTCTTTTCTGCCTCTGTCCAAGGCACCCTTACAAACTTCTTAGAATCTGGAAGCAAATTTTTCTTAGGAAGAGGTACTGATTTAATTTTATTAGAGATTTTTTTTTTCATTTGATCTTTTTCAACATTTTCAATTGTTTTCTTTGCATCCTGACTTTCAAGTGGTTTATCATCTTCTGATGTATGATCTTCAACATCACATACTAATGCATCAACATTTATATTAATTTCATCGAGATTTTTTCCACGAAATTCCTGACCTCACCCATTCTCCAACATCAATACAATTTGCTAACTTTAGCTACTTGGAAGGTGCTTTCTGACAACCTATAAAATTGTTTATGTACATCCTTGGAGTGGCCAAGAAATGTGGATAGATTGATAAATAATCTCTAAACTTTTCCCAATCATCTTCTATTAAGTAAAATAAGTTGAGCTAGCACGCTCTCTTCTAAATTTTAAAAGATTTTTGATTATTAGGGTTATTTTTAAGCTCTTGTATACTTACATTTTGTACATGAATTAAATGGTTTCTAAATAATTGTATGTCAGATGTTAATGGAAGAAAAGCAGGCTTGTTCCATTTTTTTTGCAATATCTCTTTAGAGGCGTTGGTTGAGACTTCATAAGACCATTGTTTTTCTATAATGAACCTCATATTTATTATTACCTTTTGCCAGTTGCGGATAGGGCTATTTTATGTTACCTGGAAATTAATTCAAGGGGGCCCCGAACGGAAGGGCCCAAAAATTTTTTACTCGCTTCGCTCGCAGTACGATTACTAATCAAATTTTGTCATTTTGTGTACACTGTTTGAGGATCTAAACAAAAATAATAGTATGCTGCAATTCTGGCAACATTTTTTATTAGGTAGAAATTAATCTATTAATTTGTTTTTTAATATTTCACTATGTGCAACCACCTTATCAATTATATCATTAGGGTTAATTTCAGTTAACATTTCTTTTTCAACATACATTAACATAAAACTTTCTAAATTTCCTTGTGACATTGAATTTCTTAAATAATTTTTAACATACTTAAGTTTTGAAAAACTACGTTCACATCCTACTTGAGTGATTGAAAACGTAAGTAATAATTTATATGCAAAATACAGACCTGGGTAAGCATTACTAAATAAATTATAATTAACTATTACGCTAAAACAACAAACAACGCAGCGCTTTTCCTTTGTTTCATCAGAATTATGAGAACATCTTTCATTATCCATATAATTTTGTTCTGTAAAGAATAAAAATGTTATAGATAAACTGAAGACATAACCAATAGACTTATAATTTAAGCATACAAACCATTATCTTCTCCATCTGAAATTAATTCAATATCTTCCTTATATTGATCACTTATACTCTTGACAAAGCTGTCCATGAGACAAATCTGGCATAAATGGTACAATCTTTAAATGGATACTTTTTAGTGAATCCTCTGGTAGAGGTTCATCAATACAAAAATTATTTGGATCCAAACAATAGAAGTCAGCATATAAATGTTTGTGCTTTTCAAAACGTTTTACAATACTTTGGATAACCGAGTCAAATATTATATTATGCACATTTACTGTATACGAATGCAATGGATCTTCGATTGGGTTATCAGTTGATTCATAAGAAAATAGCTTCGATTTTTTTCTTGGTCGAAATGATCTTATACTGTCATGGATTTGGATAGAGGTGTTTTCTACTGTTTCTAATTTATTGTTTGCCCATGTCAAAAAATTATCAGCAGCTTGCTCGATGCTGGGAAAATCACGATCAATTTTTTTCAAATAATTAAGAGTTTGAGTTACCATTTGGTGGGCAGAAACTAAGTTAACACCATAACCTTGAAGGTATTTGGATAAAGGTGTGGTTTATTAAAAATTCTTAAATATATTTGTGCTGTTAAAATTGTTTCATATTTACACAGTCCTTCCATAAAACCACTAGCCTTTAGTCGTGCTTAGAAGTCGTGTATTTTCACATATTTCTTCTAATGAAGTTATTAATTCAACAAATAAACAGTTATCGGGATTATTAAAGTAACCAAAAACTTTGGTTAATGCTGTATCTTTTGACCACCATCTCGTTTCTCCTATTGTACATATCCTTTGTCTTGTACCTTTTGAACGCCATACATCCATTCGACTATAGGATTCTTTTAGAAAAACGGCGCATCCTTTTAAAAGTCCAAATAAACTTACACCTTGTAAAATTTTGTTTGTTACATCACAAATAACAATGTGCAACACGTGAGCATAACACCAGATATGTGTTTATGTTAATGTTATATCGTTCAATTTTGTAGAAAATCCATTATACACACCTTGCATATTTGCAGCTCCATCCGATGAATTTCCAACACAGTATTTTGGATTAATACCCATTTGTTTCAAAGTATTTAATAATAAATTAACAAAATCAATGCCTTTGCTCGAGGTGCATTTAACCATTCCTATTAAGCGTTCATGTATTTTTGTACCAACTACATACCTAACGATAACTGAACATTGGTCTACAACAGTGATATCCTGTATAGTATCCAATTGAACTGAATATATTACGGCTTTTTTAAGTTCTTTGGTAATAGCAGATTTGATCAGTTGTGATACTGCATCAGTTATGTAGTTAATAGTAGTTTTAGACAAAGACTAGATTCCGGCGTTTGTCATCCCGCCTGCGGCGGAAAGACTGTGTGGGCGGTGGTGCATCTTGAGTACTTAATCAAAATACTGCGACTGCGATGCTGGGTTTTTTGATCCGGCCTGCGGCGGGAACGCGGGGTCGTCGGGTATTGTGTTTTGTCGTGTTGGCAGCACTGGTTAAGCGGTAATTTTTGAAATTGGAAGAGTGTCTAGTCGTAAGTCGGAAATTCGTATTCCGAGTTTGAGTGTCTAGCTATCAGTCATCTCGGGTGAAAGTCGATTCCC